AAGTAACAAACTAAGATATGAAGATATTTTGGTGTGTTGGGGGGTTGGGGAGGGGTGGTGGAGGCAGTATACCTAAGGGAAATATGCCAACCAGAGGAGTTCTTTTGATAGAGGATAGCTTATTTCAATGTCTTATTCTACCACCCTCCCATACGGCATCACACTCATCACTGCTTCTTCAACATCCTCTAAGATTGAGTGTTGGTTAAAAAAATACTCACAGTCTCCCTCCCCAACACTCAATAATTCTTTAACATTTCAAACATGAGGATGGGTAAACAGCACTTTTCAGTTTATAGCTTTTGAGATTTCCTCTTCTTCAGTCCATTAACTACAGACTCTCAAATTAAAATACCAGTACTATGAAGAGTGGAATTTCATCAATTATAAAAGCTTGACACATTAAAGTTAGTATATTTAATCATCCTAGCGGTCAATACTGTAAACAACAAGATCATACATATGTTCAGGGTTCTAAGGAAACAAGTCAACACATTTTCTGCATCAGTATACTCTTGTTTGTCCTAACCCATTTATCTGTATCCAGGTGAGATGTAAAAGTACACTGGTGTGGTAAAATGTTCTGTGTAACTGAAAATTAATAGAAGTATTAGGAAAAATATATTATAACCTACTACAGAGTTTGGCAGGGGGATATATTATAGAAAGAACAGCAGCATCAATATTAACATTTTACAAAATGTTTTCAATTTAATTTTGTAAATAACATACCATTTGCCACATATCCCAGCTGTGGTATAAGTTGTTCATCTTTACAATTTTCCCGTCCTGGTACTAGCCTTTGGAACTTTGTGGGATGAGGATTTCCATCAACATCCACCAAGAATGGGGGAGGCATGAGATGAGGAGCTTGTTGGGTTTGTTCATCCAGTACATAGTTGTTGGCATCACGGATAAGAGGTCGATAATCCGTATGGAAGAACATCTGATCTGGAATCTTTATGACAGATTTTTAGCATTTAACGTGCACAGAAAATTTACAGATAAGCATTTATTTTCATTCCTACAGCACATGGGTTTTTCAAATCAGACAATTTTTGTGTTACTTTTTAGTCTTCTATTGCCAAATGTTCACTCAAGATAGAAGTGAATAACCTAGATCATAATCCTATCTTTTCTCCACAAAACCCTACAATCTGTATTACTTTCTGGTCCTATACCATGTTTCTCCAATTAGGATAGTAAGAAGCAAAGCAATAACACAGTAAAGTTAGTTATTTTTAAGTTGCAAAAGCACACAAACTTCTACAACTATTTTTCTTGCTTATTTGTATTCAAATAATAGATGGGGTATAATATAAATGGTGAGGCAGGTAAATATCAACTGTGTGAAAGACACTCAAAGGTGATGCAAGTATTGAGTTGAACTAAAAGATCTGAGTTCTTTTCCAACTCCAAGATTCCATAATCTATCCCCAAATTCACAGCTAATAAAATATAAGGAACCAGTTAAGTTAGGTTCCAAAGTATTTTAACAAGATCAGTAATAGGTAAAGTAGCCAAGCAAGAAAATAAACATTCAGTCACCAGCTGTTTATTCCCAGTTTGTGATAAGTAGAAGATGTAATCTGGTGAAGTTTTTCTCTTAGTATACCTGAAAGGCAGTACAGAGGATATGTTCTAAGGAAAAAGATTTCCTAATGAATTTTTTGTATCTACATCACCTTATATCTTAATAGTAATTTGAACTGCCAAGCCTTATGTTCTGGCAGTGATGAAAATTTTACCAAAAAAGATGACTTTGTTACCTATTGACATATAGGGAATCTTATTAACTGGAATATTTCCAATAAGATTTATGAATAAAACAATCCAAAATTACAATTTACAAGAAAAATTAAATGTACCAACCTTTTCATAGTATTTACTGCATCCAAAACCAAAAAGCAGCAAATGCCCATGAGAATCAGTGCAGGCAAAATGGTTTCCATCTGGTGAAAATTTACAGTCAAACACTGCACCATGGCCTTGGCCTTCAATCTGAAATTTAGAGGAATCACTTTAAGACATCCTAAGAGATAATTTTCAAATAATAAGTAGGCAATAGCTTCTGCTTGCTTGGATTCTGTGTTGCACCAACATCCCAATGTACTCTCTGACTTCTGTAGTCAGAACCCTACTGTAACAGTAAAGCTCTGATAGACATTAGGGAGAATCAAAATGCAATGGATGGTATCAAATATTGCTAGCAATGTCAAATCTCAAGAAGTACTAAATACATAACTGAGGAGAATTTTAAAAAAGACCTAAACACAACCAAACTGACAAAAGTGCTATTTCAGCAAAGTCAAGATATTATCTTCATATTTAAATTGTAATGAAAGCAAGCTTTAAAATAACCATTTTAAAATTAAAGCACACAAATCAATTTCACTAATAAAAGACAGAGCTTTATTAATGCTCTGGATCTATATAGAGACAGTAAAAAGGAGCTCAAAGGCCATGATTTAGGAATTGTTAGAACTATTCTTCAGAAAGGAACACTAAATATGGAGAAAATGAATATTCTCATCACTATAGGAGGGTGTTCTACTGGGAGACCAGATAGCTCACCAGATTTCCATAGTTTGTATGAAATATATCTTAGGAGTATCCATATATCCAATTCCATGTGTACCAAACAACTTCCTGATTGCTAAGTAAGCTATATGGGGTTTACCAGAGGCAGCTACAATACAATCACTGTTGTGATTCAATAATTAGGAATATAGTTTAAACATTAATTTTTTTGTAATTTTGGTTAGTGTTAGCTCCAAAAGCTTATTAAATTTAGGTTTCTACAATTTAGAGCTGGGAACCAGAATTTGGAAAATGCTATAACCACCATGAGTCACCCTGAAAGGCATAATTCTCGACTGGCCTTACTCTCAGTTCTTCAGTCAAATTCTAAGTTATTATATGGATTTAAACAGAGGTGACAAGAGGTTATTTGGCACTAAGTATACTTTAAATACCAAGTTGTCATAGAAAAGTCTGTTTTAATATGCACTAAGCATAGATTTTTCTTACCATGTTAAAATAATTTCGAATTTTGGTCCCCCGGTCAAGGTCCCAAATAAAAACGTTCCCATCATGACCTGCCGAAAGTATGATCCTTTGATCAAATGGATGTGCTTCCAAAACAAATACTTCATCATCATGTCCCTGTGATAAAATCAATATTAAAAATGAAAAGCAATACCAAATATCTGGTTATTTGGTTAAAAGATCTCAGGAGTATGTTATCAATCTGGTTAAGATGAATTCATGCACACAAATTTAGTAGCATTTACTAAATGGACACTATAAGAAATAGTTCAGTTAGAGTTCCTTATATGTTTAAAATGCTGATTTCATAGAGTATTCAGTAGAGAAGAGACTCAAAAAGGTGTTTAAAATCAAGATAGTCTAAAACAGTTACATTTTAACCAGGTCCCTGATGTAGAATTTGTATTTCTAGGACTCTGCTATTTAAAAGGACATAGAATATGTAACAAACAAAATTTTTTATTAACACCAATTCTGTCACAGTGATAAGAGACAAACCTTCATTGTTCTTTATCCAGAACACTCTATCACTGGTATTCATAGTGTACTTTGGGAGGCCCTATCATACATTCAAACAACAAAGTATAGTGGCTCTGCCCCTAATCTACTTCATAGCTAAAGGTTTCATCTAATATGCTATCTGAAAAATGGGTCTGCTCTTAAAAAAACTAAACTTGAAAACCAATGTCCTATGTATATGTTTCCCTTTCAATAAAACAAGGAATATCACTATATTTATAGACCTCAGATCAGGAGTCTGCAAACTATAGTCTTCAGGCAAAATTCAGCTCCCCAATGCTTATGGACTCACAGTATGTGAGCTAAGAATGTTTTTTACATTTTTAAAAGGTTGTAAAAAAAAGAATATACAACAGAGACCATATGTGGCCTACAAGGCCTAAAATATTTACTCACTGGCCTCTCAAAAAAAAAGTTTGCCAACACCTGATTTTGATCATTGTTGATTTTTCTTAACTCCTGGCTAGAGAATACATGATTAACAACAGGCTCCAAGTCTTGGAAAAGCATGCAGAACATCCTGAAGTTACATTTCCCTCAGGAACACATCAGCATATTACACATAAGAAGCTTCTACAAATAATCATATATACTAACAGAAAACTCCCCTAACTTGGGAAAGGAAACAGTCACCCAAGTCCAGGAAGCTCAGAGTCCCACACAGGATCAACCCAAAGAGGAATATACTAAGGCACACAGTAATTAAATTCACACAAATTAAGGATAAGGAGAGAATATTAAAATCAGCAAGACAAAAGCAACAAATAACATACAAGGGAACTCCCATAAGGTTATCTGCTAATTCTCAGGCCAGAAGGGAGTGGCACAATATATTTAAAGTGCTGAAAGGGAAAAACTTACATCCAAGAATACTCTATCCAGCAAGGCTCTCATTCAGACTTGATGGAGATATCAAAAGCTTCAGAGATAAACAAAGGCTAAAAGAATTCAGGACCACCAAACCAGCTTTACAACAATGTTAAAGGAACTTCTCTAGTCAACAAAGCACAAGAAAAGAGAATAAAAAGAAGAAGGAAAAAAAAAAACCTACAAAAACAAACTCAAAACAATTAACAAAAATGGCAGTAAGAACACACCTAACAATAATTACCTTAAATGTAAATAGATTAAATGCTCCAACCAAAATACATAGACTGGCTGAATGGATACAAAGCAAGACCCATATATATGCTGTCTACAAGAGACCCACTTCAGAGCTAGAGACACATGCAGGTCAAAAGTAAGGGGATGGAAAAAGATATTCCATGCAAATGGAAACCAGAAGAAAGCTGGAGTAGCAATACTTATATCAGACAAAATAGATTTTAAAATAAAGACTGTTACAAGAGACAAAGAAGGGCACTACATAATGCTTAAGGAATCAATCCAAGCAGAGAATATAACAATTATAAATATATATGCACCCAAGGTAGGATATATACAGCAACTTTTAACAGACATAAAAGGAGAAATTGACAATAACACAATAATAGTAGGGGATCTTAACACCCCACTTATACCAAGAGACAGATCATACAGAGAGAAAATCAATAAGGAAATACAGGCCTTAAATAACACATTAGACCAGATGGACCTAATTGATATCTATAGAGAATACCACCCAAAACCAACAGAATACACATTCTTCTAAGGTGCACATGTAACATTCTCCAGAATTGATCACATGCTGGCCAACAAAGCGAGCCTCAGCGAATTTAAGAAAATTGAAATCATACCAAGCACCTTTTCAGACCACAATGCTATTAGGTTAGTAATCAACTACAAGAAAAAAAAACTGCAAAAACTGCAAACACATGGAGGGTAAACAATATGCTACTACACACCAGTGGATCATGGAAGAAATCGATGAGGAAATCAAAAAGTACTTTGAGACCAAAGAAAACGAAAACACAACAATCCAAAACCTCTGGGATGCAGCAAAAGCAGTTCTCAAAGGGAGTTTTATAGCGACACAAACATACCTCAGGAAGCAAGAAAAATCTCAAGTGAATAACCTAACCTTACACCTCAAGCAGCTGGAGAAAGAAGAACACATCCTAAAGTTACTAGAAGAAAATAAATCATAAGGATTAGAGCAGAAATAAATGAAATAGAGACTTAAAAAAACAGTAGAAAAGATTAACAAAACTAAAAGCTGTTTCTTTGAAAAGATAAACAAAATTGATAAGCCGTTAGTCAGATTCATCAAGAAAAATAGGAAGAGGGCCCAAATTAATAAAATCAAAAATGAAAAAGGAGAAGTTACAACTGACAACACAGAAATACAAGGAAACATAAGGGGATACTATGAGAAGCTATATGCCAACAAAAATGGCAACACAGAAGAGATGGACAATTTCTTAGAAAGGTACAATTTGCCAAGATTAAACCAGGAAGAAATAGACAATATGAATAGACCAATTACCAGTACTGAAATTGAATCAGTAATTAAAAACCTCCCAAGAAAACAAAAGTCGACGACCAGATGGCTTCACAGGTGAATTCTACCAAACATTTAGAGAAGAGTTAACACCTGTCCTGAAACTATTCCAAAAATTGCAGAGGGAGGAACACTTCCAAACTCATTCTATGAGGCCTAATCACCCTCATACCAAAACCAGACAAGGATATCACAAAAAAAGAAAATTATAGGCCAATATCACTTATGAATATAGATGCAAAAATTCTCAACAAAATACTAGCAAATCTACTCCAACAATGCATAAAAAGGATCATACACTATGATCAAGTCAGATTTATCCCAGGGACGTAGAGATTTTTCAATATGCACAAATCAATCAACGTGATAACACCATTTTAACAAACTGAAGAATAAAAACCATATGATAATCTCAGTAGACACAGAAAAAGCTTTTGATAAAATTCAACATCCATTTATGATCAAAACTCTCCAGAACGTGGACACAGATGGAACATACCTCAACATAATAAAGGCCATATATGACAAGCCTAGAGCTAACATCATACTTAATGGGTTCCCTTTAAGATCAGGAACAAGACAAGGATGCCCAATATCACCACTTGTATTCAACGCAGTTTTGGAAGTCTTAGCCATAGCAATCAGAGGAGAAAAAGAAATAAAAGGAGTCCAAATTGGAAAAGAAGAAATAAAACTGTCAATGTTTGTAAATGACATGATGCTATACATAGAAAAACCCTAAAGAAGTGACCAGAAAACTATGAGAACTCATCAATAAATTTGGTAAAGTTGCAGGACACAAAATTAATACACAGAAATCAGTTGTATTTCTATACACTAACAATGAAATAGCAGAAAGGGAAATTAAGGAAATGATACCATTTACCACCACGACAGAAAGAATAAAATACACTGGAATAAACCTACCCAAGGAGGCAAAAGACCTGTATGCTGAAAACTATAGGACAAAGATGAAGGAAACTGCAGATGACATAAACAAATGGAAAGGTATACCATGTTCTTGGATTGGAAGAATCAATATTGTTAAAGTGGCCATATTGCCCAAGGCAATTTACAGATTCAAAGCATTCCCTGTCAAATTACCAATGACATCCTTCACAGAGCTGGAACAAAAAAATGTTAAAATTTGTATGGAAACACAAAAGACCCCAAATAACCAAAACAATCTTGAAAAAGAACAGAGCTGGGGGAATCATGCTTCCTGACTTCAGACTATATTACAAAGCTACAGTAATCAATACAGTATGGTACTGGCACAAAAACAGACACATAGATCAATGGAACAGGATAGAAAGTCCAGAAATAAACCCACACATGTATGACAAAGGAGGCAAGAATATACAATAGAGCCAAGACAGTCTCTTCAATAAGTGGTGCTGGGAAAACTGGACAGCTACCTGTAAAAGACTGAAATTAGAACATTCTCTAATACCATGTACAGAAATAAACTCAAAATGAGTTAAAGACCTAAATGTAAGACCAGATACTATAAAATTCCTAGAAGAAAACATAGGCAGAACACTCACAGACATACATCATGACAATATATTTTTTGAACCAGCTCCTGCAGTAATGGAAATGAAAGCAAAAATAAACAAATGGGATTTAATTAAACTTAAAAGCTTTTGCACAGCTAAGGATACCATCAACAAATGAAAAAACCTACAAAATGGGAGAAAATATTTCCAAATGATGGGATTGACAAGGGACTGATTTCCAAAATATACAAACAGCTCATACACCTTAATGTCAAAGAAACAAGCAACCCAACCCAAAAATGGGCAGAAGACCTAAACAAGCAATTCTCCAATGAAGTCATACAAATGGGCAATAGGCACATGAAAAAATGCTCAATATCACTAATCATCAGAGAAATGCAGATCAAAGCTACAATGAGATATCACCTCACATCAGCCAGAATGGCCATCATTGAAAAGTCTACAAAGGACAGATGCTGGAGAGGGTGTGGAGAAAAGGGAACCCTCCTGCACTGTTGGTGGCAGTGTAGATTGGTGCAGCCACTATGGAGGACAGTATGGAGGTTCCTTAAAAAACTGAAAATAGACTTACCATGTGATACCGCAATCCCATTCCTGGGCATATATCCAGAGAAAAATAAAATTCAAAAAGATACATGCGCCCCAATGTTCATAGCAGCACTATTTACAATACCCAAGACATGAAAACAACCCAAATATCCATCAACAGATGACTGGATAAAGAAGATGTAGTAACATACACAGAATGGAACCCTACTCAGCCATAAAAAAGAATAAAATAATGCCTTTTGTAGCAATATGAATGGACCTGAAGATTATCTTTCTAAGTGAACTGGGCCAGAAAGAGAAAGAAAAATGCCATATGACAGCTCTTAGATGTGGTATCTAAGTAATAGTAGTAGTAGTAATAATAATAATAATAATAATGGCACAAATGAATTACTTATTTATAACTTAGATGATTGATTTCTTGAATAGGTCTAAGCACATTTGACTGTCCTTTATGATTAGATTATCGCATTCTGTTGATTCTTATTTTGTTTTTGGCTTTATTCCTTTGATAATTATGTAAATTTAAAAAGCTAAAGCTCTAATCTGTTCTTAGAAACAATGATCAGTACATATATGTAAACTAAAAAAATGTGCAGCATATTGTACATATTGTATTTACATGCAATGTAATGTATGTGTGCAGTCAAACTGTAATAATTCTACCTAATAAAACTGAAAAAGGAAAAAAAATGATCATATATTGTGAACCTAAAAAGTGTATTTTATCTCAAATCATACAAAAACAGAATAATATTCTACCATATTACCATTATGGACAAAAATATAGTTTACTGAAAAATAACTGCAGGCTGGCTCAAAACATAAAGCATAAGACGAGGAGGTAAAATCCCATTACAATAAATACCATCACAAAACTCTTTTCCCAATGACTAACAAAAAATATTTCTTTGTCATAACAAAATCTCTTGTTGAATAATCAGTTTGATATAGTAAATACTTTCTCAGTTTCCTAAGCAGTAAACAATAAAATTACCCTACTAAACTCAAATGATAATGATACAACTATATCAGTGTACATTAAGAAACAGAAACTTATTAAATAGGAGGGTTTATTTTTGGTTACAAGGACACAGTCACTGGGTTACAGGAAACAAAACCTAGTCAAATTCAGTAATGTCTTAAGATTTATCATCTGCTCAATTTTTATTTATTAAACAAACACACCTCTATTTCTACTACTGCCACAAAAATCCAAATTATCACCATGCCCGATCCTAGCGTAGAATCCTACAGCACACCCAGAGTTATTCTTATATCCATTCGAAACTATTCTCTACTCTGTTGCTAGAAGTGCAAGGTATTTTTTAAAAGAAAATTTACATATTATCCCTTTGCTTTTAAACATTTTAAGGTTGTTCTTTTAGTCTTAGGACAGATTCTACAAGACCTCGAATGGTCTGGCCCCTGTCCATTTATCCAGTCCTATCTGGTGACACTCTTTCTGCTATCTGTGTTCTAGCCAAAAATTGGCTTTCTTTCAACTCCTCTCTAAGTCAAGATCTTTGCACAAGTTTTTCCTTCTTCCTGGAGAGATCTTTCAACCTCTTTACATATGTAATTTACCAAATATTTATTGATCCCCTACCATGTTGAGACAGAAAATAAACAAAGAAATTTAATAAGAAAGCATCAAGTAGTAATAAACACTGTGAAGAAAATAAATAAAGACAAAAACTGGGAGGCTACTCTAGATTATTTGATCAGGGAAGGCCTTGTCAAGGAGGTGATATTTAGGCTGAGAGATGGGTAATATTTACCTATCTTATAAATCTTAATGTAAACTTCACTTCCTCAGAAACTTTGTCTGACCCTTCCAGATCAGGTTTAGCCATCTTGTTAGTAACTTGCATTGTGCTTTGATTAAATGTTTGTTTCTTTGTTTTATTTAATAGGCTATAAACTCTAGGAGGGCCTAACTTTAATTTACCATTTACACCTAACTCAATGGCTGGCATAGTGCACAGTCAGTAAGTATTTGCTGAATGGAAGAACTTTACACCCTTCTAAGATCCTGACACACAAATTGTTAACAAATAAAATATAAATTCTATACCAAAACTAAGTAGATTTGACAGTTACAAGGACTAAAAATAGTCTGTTCTAAAATTTCTTCAGTAAAATTCACTGAAAACAGAAGACCCATGAGTCAGTCCATAGGAAGTGTACCACTAAACAGAACTAAATTTAGGTACTTACTAAGGCAGAATTTTACATGAATTTATAAAACCAATGTCTACAACTTGGCCTTTGAAATTGTGATTTTGAGAGATAAAGACTTGTAGCCACTGGCCAAATGTGTGGCTGAATAAGCTACAAATATGTGGCTAGTAAGCGTCTGAAATAAAAATACACAGCTAGTACAAACTGAGATGTTTTATAAGAATAAAATACATACTGATTTCAAATATTTAGTATGAAAAAATAATGTCAAATAT